AGAATAGAATAGAATAGAATAGAATAGAATAGAATAGAATAGAATAGTCTTGCTATGCAACCCTGCTCACAAGTGCATAAAGCAAGTGCAACTGGACTGTGGACAATGGGATATGGGAGGTGGGAGAAGGAAAATATTGCTTTTTTATTAAATTATAGTTTTGGAGAAAAAATGTCCCAGGAGTTTCTTTTGTTGTCTAATGCAGTGGGACGGGTGACAAGAATAGAATATTCTTTATTGTGTGATTGGACACACAAGGATAAAATATCCACTAGCTTAGGACAGCTTCTCTCTCCCTCTCTCCTATCTAGCTATCTGCCTTTCTTTCATCTATCTGTATGTGTGTGTGTCTCTGTTCGTGTGCTTGTGTGTGTATATCTTATGCTCTTGAGAGTGGGATAAAAATCAATACAAATAATTTTAAAAATACTTTTGGAAGCGTGGCTTGGCCTGTGGCACAGTGGTAGTTTCACATTGACTTGGAACGTACGGTGTGAGCTGAGACAGTTGTTATCTCCAGTTGTTGGATATGGAATCACAGCAGCTGACAGCTTCTATCCAATCTTGTCTGGTTTAGGAAGCTAAGCAGGGCTGGTTATTAATTGTATGGGAAACCATCAGGATAGAGACCAAGGCTACAGAGTAGACAATGTGGGAGGAGGCAATGGCAGATCACTTCCTGCTGCCAAGAAAATTACAACATGAAGAAGTTCACAAAATCACCAGAAGCTAAACTTGACTCAAAAGAGACTTCACTCGTTGATGGTAAAAGAGACATTGTGCTGCATATTGCATAGAGATACATGGGGATTGTGAAATGGCACTTCTCCCATGTTAAAACTAGGCCTTATCAGAGATCTCCGTATTTTGGAAGGCAGTTGGTTAGGCCCTTTCCTGAACCAACAGTCCCTACTCATAGTCACTCATGCCCTAGTCACTTCCCATCTTGATTATTGCAACGCGCTCTACATGGGGCTGCCCTTGAAGAACATTCGGAAGTTCCAGTTGGTGCAAAATGCAACGGCCCGCATGATTTTGTGTAGACCCTGGTGTGCACATGTGTCACCTCTCCTGCAGGAGCTGCATTGGTTGCCAATTTGCTTCCGGGTGCAATTCAAGGTGCTGGTTGTCACCTTTAAAGCCCTTCATGGCTTAGGACCAGGTTATCTGAGGGAACGTCTCTTGCCGGTCACATCTACCCAACCCATCAGAGCGGGGAGGCAGGGAATGTTGCGGGTCTCATCCCTGAGGGAGATACATCTGGAGGGACCCAGATGAAAGGCTTTCTCCATGGTGGCTCCCTCTCTCTGGAACATCATTCCCCCAGGGATTAGAATGGCCCCCACTCTATCACTCTTCCGGAAGGCACTGAAGACCTGGTTTTGCCAGAGGGCCTGGGGAGCCCAGAGCAGGATGGAGCCCATCAAATGGCTAGTGTGGTCTGCTGTCGTTGGGGTGGGAGTTGGGGGGTGATTTTTTTTCCAGATTTTGTTCTGTTGTACTATATTAATTTATTTGATTCTTTTTGTTAGTTTTTATTGTTTTTTTATTTTTATGTTTTGTTTTAAATATGGTTTTACATTGTGTAAGCCTCCTCGAGTCACCACGGGCAAATAGGTGGCAATATAAATAAACAAATTAAATAAATAAAAAAATAAATGTCATAACACCTTTCTTCTGCTTTCCAGATCCCGGCCTGTTTTCACTGTCCTCACTTCATTGAGATTCTCCCCTGATTTGATCCCTCTGGATGATCCAGAGTGTGGAAGCAGAAAGATTTCAAAAATGGATTCTCGTGGGCAAGTCAGTCTTTGCTTCACCTTAACTCTTCTCAGCACGAAATGGAGCTCTGGTAACATCTCAGCATGACTGTTCTTTTGTTTAATAATCTTAATTTTGTAGGTTTTAGGATTCTCCTCTTTCCCTCATATCTTAAGTATTGATAATTTATTCTGCAACCACTCTTTTCATCTGCCAACTTCTGTTTCTCATCAATTGATTTATCTGTTTCCCACCTTTATTATTTGTATAAATATCTCAAGGTGGCAAACACACCTATCGTGTTTTCCCAAAAATAAGCCTTAGCATGATTTTTCAGGATGCTTGTAATATACCCCCAAAATAAGCCCCATCTGCCAGACGGACACATTTTAGTACCATATTTCTCCAAAAAATAAGCCCTAATGCATCTTTTGGAGCAAAAATTAATATATGACTCGGTCTTATTTTCAGGGAAATACAGAATACTCCTTCTGTGAGCCATAGTCATCAGTTCTTACTACTAATTTCCTCACAACAACCTTGTGAGTTGGGTTAGGTGAGTTGGGAAAGTGATTGGCCCAAGGCCACTTAGCTGGCTTTGTGTCTGAAGAGCTTCCATAATATAATATAATAATAATATAATAAATATAATTAATATAATATAATATAATATAATATAATATAATATAATATAATATAATATAATATAATATAATATAATTTGATTATAATTTGATGTGCGCCCCGTGGCCATATACAGCGCAGAGTGCTGGCCGACGACCAAAGAAGTCGAAAGCAGACTCCAGACAATGGAGATGCGAATGCTCCGATGGTCGGTAGGCCTCACCCTACTCGATCGTGTCAGGAACGAAGAAGTGCGTAGACGGTTCAACGTTGTGCCCATCCCCACGGTCATGAGGCAGTCCCGGCTACGATGGTTCGGCCATGTGAGTCGCGCCAAGGAAGAATCCATCATCAAATCTGCGATGAAGGTGACTGTCGGAGGAGCGAGACCGCGTGGTAGACCTAAGCAACGCTGGATGGACACGATCAAGGCCGATTTAGAGATCGCGAAGGCAGACCCGACATACGTGGCAGACAGAGAGGCGTGGAAGCAGTACTCAAGGACATTAGCAGACCTCGCCAGAGCGCGAGACAAACGCTGAAGAAAAAGAAGAAGAAGAATATAATATAATAATATAATAATATAATATAATATAATATAATATAATATAAT